GTTCAGGATATGTAATTCCATTGGTGATATCTCCATCTACTTTGAAAGACTCATATATGCTTGTCATAGATACCAAATCATAGCCACAACTTAGAAACTCCTCMGTAATATGTTTTAAACTTTCAAAACTGCCTTGTAMACTTGAAAATGCGATTTGACTTTTTGTTTTTTCTTCTTTGAAAGTCAATAATTGGCAAAAACTGCTTGATTTTCCCTGAGTGAAACTTTGCAAACCTTCCTCTTGAGYMTGCAKTTGACAAGTACAACTGGTAAGTATGATACTTTCACATTCCTCCTTGGGATTTCTATGCGGGACTTCACTTTGTGTCAACATTTGTTTTGAAAGATATTCTTTTTTGTGATTMTTTTTGAAAACTYGGATMGAATTGAGGACGTCTTTCATGTAGAAGAAGGGCTGTTTTACGTCCAGTTMGACGCTAWCACCGTAGATGCAGCTTGTCACAAATCTTTCGCTGTCCATGTCATCTTTAAACGTTTTGGCCAATGAAATGCTGTCCRGGACGTCACGACATCTACTTTTCAATATATTTGGCCAAATTACTTTAAACATCTATTAAAAAGACAGAAGAGATAAGATGATAAGTTGAAAATAGTAACTTCGTAACGTTATATTATTGCATGTCTAACTGAATTACTCAAGTACCGAGCAACAATTAACTCGATGGGGTGGGGGTTCGGGGTGGGTTGTTGTTAAACTTAATAGGAGATATATGATTTACACTCTCTTCATCAAAATGATCAAGTCGTTAGCCGCAAAGGGAAGCACTGCGCACTGAACATGGAGGACGATAGCTAAAGTGAAATGCCTTCTAGTTTTGAAGTAAGCGATAACGAAGAGTCTGTTACTGAAGAGACGACTAAAGAAAAATCTAATAATTTAAGCACGTCTATGAAAACTACTAAATGACACTATATAAGGAAGCGTCAAGGAGGGGGCCCTCACTGACTACTCAACAAAGTGCCGGGTCCAGAGGTTTATTGGGTCCACAAGCATCCTACCCTTCGTTAAATCCGTTATTCGTGTTCTAGACCACCAGCAGAGTTCCACGGTTATATAAAACAGGCTGTCATTGGCTGCTGTATCAGCTGAGCTCAATCTTACATGCGTTCTGATTCGCTAGAAAGCTTGCACTATTCCTACAGGCCACAAGCATCCCAACAGAACGCAAAAAAATCTGGAAAAATCCTGGATTCGTCCCTGCAAAACCTTTCGCCTCCTACGTCTATTCCCGACGTTGTAGATTCAAGTCCCAGTTTTGTTTTTGTGCAACCTCCGGTAAACTTTCCTGGCTACGCGGAATCTAGTAAAATATTTTTTGATCCATGTATGCTAATTGAAAGTGAAAATCTAAATTCATCAATAAAGAATCTGTCTTYCGATAACAATATTTGCTTTAAATTTATGCGCAGTCAGTCACCGTGACAAAACCTTTGCAACGCACAAACAGCCGGAATAAATAACAGCGGTTATTATTATTCAACACAGTCTAACAAAAACCCAATTTGGCCATCAAAACTATTTGCATTGTAGGAGAACATTTAGCAATTAACGGCATTTCTGAAATTTCTGAATCACGAACTGCTATACATGGTTTCATTTTACAACCATAAGGGGAATCCCCTAGATTGTTTTTGATGGTATATGACAAACTCATTGGTCTCTACGATGGAATGCACATTTGGTATGAAAATCAATTTTACTAAAACTCGAAAAAAAAGGGAAAAAATAAGTAGACGATGTGTTTTTGAGCATAAACTAGTTTTCACTGAGCAACACAAAGCAGAATGTATTGTCAAGGAACAACACAAAACAAATGAAAATCGCTTTTACATTTCAATTCGCTAGGGTGCAATTTTAAAAACCATTCCCTTTTCCCTACATTACTAGATAATATCAAATAGTAGACGTCGACCATCTGCCTAAAATAAATAAACTTAACTGCATGAATATGATTGGTGAACTCCATTTCAGGTTAAGATTTTCATCTGGACATGAAATGCCATTCAAATCAATTCAAGACTACTCGGTTTCATAAGACATCAGACATTGTTCATTGCGGTTAAATATCAAAAATAAAATCTTCCTTTTGATCAATCAATTTCCCTGTAGTATCTAAAGGATAGCAAATTAACGTGAATTTTGATGTGTTCAAATTTGAAATGCATTCCTTATGTTTTATATTTTCATATACAGCATGAATTGTTATGTCTTACATTTCTGTCCTCCATTTCTTGGTATGTGTACTCTTTCGTCCACACTTCATGACGCTTCGAGCATTTTACACCAGGATTTCGGTGGCACGCATCACAAAGTGGCTTCACTGTGTGTAGTATTATTTTGTCTTCTTCGATACCAGTGCAGATGAAATGGTGAGTTAACAGCGCTCGATGAACCGCCAGATGATCACCGAGTTCGACGTTTTCTTTCGCAGCCTTCACATCTTCAGTTTCGAACGACATGTCACATCTTTGAAACCGTTCGAAAAGGCTCAGGTCTTCTTCTTGTTGTAACTGTTCATTGTATTTGTGATCCATTACATCGGAGACGGACATTTTTTCCGCCGCTTTGCCTACAACTGTAGTCTACACCATCAGCACTTTGTATGCACGACTGAGGACAGAACTGGGAGCGCCGACCCCTGAATTTTTGGGAATTCCCTACATATTACGTCAGATTTAAAGCACCAATTGAAAACCTGATCAAGTAAAATATTTGTACATGCACTAGTATTGTGCCAGTGCCAGTGCAGAATTGAAGTGTTAATAGGAATGTTCCGTGAGAATAAAGTCAGTTATTATTTTTTCAGAAACAARGTAAGATGCACCCCCTGTATCCCACCCCTTGTACAGATATTTCAAGGCGCATAGTTGGTAAAAAGCCGGACTTAAAATCAGTTTTTAGGGCGAGCAACGTTCTTTTTGTCCAGTTAATTTATTCTATTCCGGAAATGTCAAWRTTACTAACTCAATGAATCGATTGACTGCTGTAATTTCAATCTAACAAATTTTAACAGTACAGCTGTTTTCCTGAGTTCACCTGACACCCATACCCCCATGGTGTGGTTGATTCTGGTATGTCACGAAATGAAACTATATTTCAATCACGTTATATCATACATAAAGAGCTGACAGAAAAAGACTCTTGGCATTAGAAAAGGGTCTATYGATCATTAGAATCCTGCAATCTTTGACCGACATATTGACTGGTTCCGTGTCCCACATAACCAACGTACTCCATTTGTTTGTTACCTGTATTCATGCAATTCATGGGTAAATAGCTTTTAGAAATGTTGTTATAGTATGGACTGATCGAACCCTCGAGTATACATTTTTCCCATAATCAAAATGACAGGAAAATATGTCAAATCATGCAAGTGATAGGCAAGGTTTTAGTAGAATTTTGAATGTTTTGGTATATATTTGACGGTAGGAGGTATATACAGGGCACTCGGGCTATTTATACACCTTATAGTGCACGACTACTCAGATGCCCAAAGTCGTTGTAACTCTGAGCGACTTTGTATTACTTTTTAGAAACATTCAAAATTCTCGTACCCAGACTCTTCTCATCTTCCGACCGGTAGCCGGCGAGAGTACGGTCTGGGTACGAGAATGTTTTTGGCAAAGATTGCACAAAACCGTTCAAAAATACAAAGCGATTTTGATCGACTTTTGGGTCACGCTCCCGGAGTAGTCGCAGAGACTTTGTGACTATTTAACACAATTTTAGCAAATTTGCACTGATATACACTAATATATATCACTCAAAATTTAAATCGACTTTGAGCAAGTTTAGCATTTTGGAAGATTTTAAAGGATCGATTTTAAACGATTTTGGAACCCATATGCCTTAATGACCACGAAGTGACCAAGTTAAAAAATCATCTTGGTGGTAACTGGTTTGACGAATTTTGCGATCAGTTTCAAATTAAAGTTATGAGCCCTTCCCCTCATACTTCATTCATTGAACTTAGACGTTGCCCCCCTGTTTATTCTCAATCCCCACTCGTAATAATTATTGCGCAGTCCCTCAAATCTTCTAGAACTATCTGCGTGTGTAATTACTCCGGTTTATTCCTTGTTGTTTAGATACAGTTCTGTCTTGATATCTTTAGAGCTCACTGTCACTAACTTGCGGTGACGCCATAGTTAACTATGGTGACGCGAAGGGAAAGTGAGGCAAAATTTTCACAAATTTACAAAATGTATGGAGGTAAAAAAAATTCAAAATTCTTACTGCGTTTAAATATGTCAATGAATCCTTTAAAGATTTTTGTTTTGTAAACTATCTATTCCTAAGCTACGATCCCTGGACAAAAGGAGTTGAGAATGTTTTGAAAACCGCTGAATGTTGGAAAGTCTCCGCCCCGTTTACTTTTTATTTTTCCTGCCCTCCTCCGATCTCTCCGATCCTTCGCTCAAAGTTGTGTTTTAGAGAGCACACATACCTGCTGGATTCTCTTGGATTCTGTTAAAGTGCTAACAACACTGAATAAGTGGAGGGGAGGGGTAAAGAGCAACCTGACCTGAAACGTGCAGTTATTCTCAATCTGTCCAGGAATGTATCTACCCCACATAAATTATAACAAAAAGACCTTTTCTTATAAACATGAGGTTTTATGGAATACTGAGCCTTTTAATCTGACTTCGGTATGTTTACGTTAGAGTCCTACTAGACTGTTAAAAAAGCCTTCGGAAAAATAGGCGCGAGGATCGAAAAAAGAGTTGATCTCGGTGTCATCATTTACCGACAGGGAGGTTTTTGCACAAAGTTCTGAAAAAAAAAGAGATCAGAAAAGTTTCCTGTATATTAACGTGGACCATCTTATTTCCCAGGCGTTCCTCGTTGCCTATGCTAATTTTCTTCCACAGGAAGCCCAATAATATTAGTAATAATAGTAAGTGAATGAATGAATGTCTGAATGAGTGAGWGAATGATTCGTCTTGAAAAGTTAACGTCTCTTTTGCATTGCGGTGAGCAARAATAGTTAYACGTTACCTGTAGGTGTGAAATATGGCTTTAATATCCTACAATATCACATTACAATTTTGGGTTACCTGTGTCACAAAACGTTTTATCAATCAGCGGTCTTAGGCAATAACATAGTTGCAACACGTTGTACGCGAGAAGAGGCACTTGCTTRACATTTTTGGTGGTCTCACTGTATTTAAATAATGTTATCCGCGCTTATAGCTTTTATAGTCTTTTCTGCAGCTCTGGCTGATAAGTGCAATAATCTAGATGGRATTTGGTACAACCAGCTAGGCTCTGAAATTTCTCTAAAGCATTCGAATGACGGTAGGTTGTATGGAATTTATCGCACAGCTGTTGAAAGGGAAAAGGGCTCCGCTGGCAACACTCACTCGATCATCTTAGGTAAGTCATATTTGTAAAGACTATGTTTYTTTTACTTATGGCCATGAAATGTGGGGGTAAAATTATGCAAAATATAAATACGAGGGATCGATGGAAACTTTGATACCAGAGGACCGTCACTTGATACGAAAAAAAAAGAATCTTACTCGATTTTTGACTTTTCTTTTGAAAATATTATGATGCTATTTATTAATATTTAAGAGGGAAGTATAATTAGTATTGTTTGGTAAGAATTCGTTTGTGTTTGGAAAACAAATAATTTTTATTTTGACATCCCTCGTGTTCAGGTATGTGTTGGATGGCACGTGTTTCTGCTTGTACTCGTGATGGACTATTTTGTTACTACTACC